TTTCTGGGATACCGCAGTCCCATGTGGATCAGAAAACAGCCACAATGTAGTACAACTAAACCCTGATGAAAATAAATATTATCTTCTCACTCCATATCCCACATTAATGCAATCACTCAAAAAATTTTCACCAGAAAGCATTCGCGCTATTGCTCGAAACCCAAATATAGACTTACAATCAATAGGAATCTATTCAAAATCAGATATTCAACATCACATTAGAACACAACAATTCCAAGAATTATTAACACAAATGGACACTATACAAAGACAATCAATAGACCAAAATTTACGCAAACTTGCGGAAACCGCAGGATTTGCCGATATCTACACGCAAGACTATAGCGGATATTTTAAAGACATTAAAGATTATATATATCTAAACGGTGAAAAATACCGTCCCCAAGATATATCACCAATTAACATTTTTAGCTTTGTTACACTCAAAAATGAGATCCTCGATTTTCTAGGATGGCCCTACTACATCTTAGAAAAATTGACTATTTTATACGCAATGTTTAACTTTATTGGATTTCTTTTCTCACTTTTAAAAGGAATCTACAACACATGTGCTATACACACACAAGTAAACAGACAAGCAAGCGTAGCACGCATACTCTTTGCAGGATTTTTTGGAATCTTTTCTACATCTATAAACAAAATTCTTTTAGACGCACAAATAAAAGAATATAACACAAAAATAGCAACACGACAAAATACATACGACGAAGAACATAACAATGTAGACATAACGCCAACGGCACCACAATTACCACCCCTACCAAATAACCATCCACTATCCCTAGTCCCACGAAATTTTCGAAATTTAGCCATCACACATAATCCAAATTTTCGACTCACCACATCACAAAGTCCCATCCAACATATAATGACACACCAGTCACAAGACCATAATACTTATGAACAAATTATTGAACAACCCCATACCACCGCTTTTCAGTCTCAAAATAATCATTTTTTTAGCCCACGATGAGCCGCCAACTTGGATCACTACACCGATCAAATTCCCACCCAACCAATCTTACCTCTCCAATCCCAATAATACCACTTTTTGCTTTTCCGCCACCCGATTTTCCATCTAGTAATGTAACATCAGGCATGAATTCCGACACTAATTCACACATCTCAGTTTTATATTCCATCTCACAACTCAATAACCCGAATATTGAAACCCCCGATGAATTTGCCGACTCAGAACCATCCCCATCCAATAATTTTCATAATTCTTCTAATTTTTCTCAACCCCCTTTTCAACCCATATTATCCAATAACCCTGACCCAATCACTTCCACACCCTCTTATGCTTCCCAAGTTACCCCAACCTACTCCTCACTTCATTCTGACCAATCATCTCATTCTCCAGACACCCCCCGAATCTCCCCAGAGCTAGATAATTTTATTACCCTTCAACAACAACCCTACCACCTCCATACCCCAACAATAAACCAAATCTCCTCCACAATAAATTCATCCAACCCCCCTACCCCTACACCCTCTTCAAATTATACTGAATCATTAGCACCATCATCCACATCAACTGAATCTTCACTCAACACTAATAGAGCTTACCGCACTTTTAAAAGAAAGTTCCCCAACCATCCTTTCCCAGCAAAACCAGGAACAGCCCGTGAATACATCAACCACCCCAAGCATACTAACACAAAAGAATTTTTAGCCATCACCTTACCCTCATTCCCACAATACACCTTAAACACCCCCCACGACACTAACGAAACACGCAACTTTGTAGATGAATACGTTTTAATGCCCACTCTCTCTTGGACCTCATATTATCATTTTACTAACCCTCTTTGCTTACCTTTATCTAACACTCACATCGATATAGAGCGAAATACGGACATGCTATATCGACTCACTACACCACTAACCGCTAGACAATTTACTTACGTTGGATATAAAAAATCACTAAAAACACACACTGCACCTAGAGCTAACGAATATACACTCGAATACTATGATCACAACATCATCAGAGCTAACCAAGATCAATTCTTAGACGACGATCGCTTCGCTAATCCACAAATTACCGAGAAATTTTTCATCAAGACACCATATATATTTACACTAAACATCTTCGACCGAAAGTTTGATCACATTATTTCAGAAGCACTAACAGACACACAAGCATACGAAAATTTTAAAGAACGCTTCCAAATATTTTCACTAACCTTTCATTTCCTTGCACCACACGAAAGAGATTTACACTGCTCACACGATATTATGTTGCGCACTAAACAAACCCACACATATAGTTATTATCGCTTCATCCAAAATCACTTTGACCTACACACACCCTCTAGACAACCACACCATCGTTTTCAATTCATTAATTCCAAATACACTTCACCATTTTTCCTAAATTTCACATATTGCATTAAAGATACTAACCTTCATGGTATTCTTCGCAATTATGATCCCATAACCCAAATGTACATCTTCTGTCCCATCACCAAGACCTTCAACGCCGAAGAATCCCGACCCTTCCTTATCCCGCACGAGTTTGTACAACCTATAGAAATCCCAATTTTAGAATTCATCCACAACACTAAATTCAATCACAAATTATATAATCTAATCCAAAACACACCTTTTGAGTTTGCAGTTGGCACTGAAGAAATAACCACTATCAAGGCACTTCAATTGCTTTGGCCACTGCTTCAGACTAAAAATATCATCCGCATCTTAGCTAAACTACTAACAACTTCCGATCTCATCCACGACATCTTCCCCCACGGTTTTTTCCCCGACGACTAACAGGTAAGTATGAATTAGTTGAATATTACTAACTAATTAAAATATTAAAAAACTCACCATACTTTATCCATGTTTTCTTTAGATTTTTAGCCTTCATCCGACAATCACCTACAAAAACCACAAAAGACAAATAAAAATCGCAAATTTCATCAAACAGATTTCAAAAATTCTATTAATCTCTTACACTTATAAATTTATAAATTTAATACCAATGCAGTAAATTCATTTCTAAAATTTCCCCACAAGCAGTAAATCTAATTATGATGAAAATTTGTAACTTAAAATTCCCCCATAACTAGCAGTAAATTTCCAAATTCTATGCAGTAAATTAATAAAATGCAAATGCAGTACTAACCTTTTGATATTTTCATTCATTCGCACAGAAATTCTATCCACACTCGCACAGCTCGCCCACGAAGAATTGTTTAAAATAATGAATTTCAGTTTCAAGTTTTCACACTCAACAACTCTAACATATAATAACATGTTTCAAACTTTCCTTTAACCCGGTTGGAAAGGAATCATATACTAAACAAAACTAACCAACGCAGCTTACTAAATACCACAAATCATAGAATAACAGCATGACTAAGAAAAGGAAACCAACGGTACCCAAACCGGATTAACCCAGTTTAAAACTGGATAATTTATTCTTTTGAAGACTATTATAAAGTCTAAGAAAGAAATAATAAAACACAAAAAAGTCGAAAGACAAACCCATACCACGAACAATTTGCTTTTTGGAAAAAGGACATAACCAACAAGACATAAGAAAAACCACAACAAACCCAACATAAAACGTTGTCACATAACAGGACCCCTCACAAAAACCGCATGAAATCATACTCCCACTCCTGGCCTAACCCACCAGGAAGGACGTCCTGAGCATGCTCTATAGCCGGCCTAACCCACCGCGCTACATCCACGCTTTGTGACCACACCTCTATTTTTAATAAGAGCTACTCAAGGGTGAGTAACTCTTCAAAATAACCGAACTAAAACAAAAAGCTTTTGTGAAAACAACTAACTAACATCATAATTAAAAAATATTAAACTAATAAATGTTTTATAAAATGTAAATTACATTATGCAATACATAGATCAGAATATAACACCAAGGACGAACATCTAAAGACAAAACGACCCCACTACACTCGAGAGAGAATGGCCAACCACAATCGATATGCCACTCACAATCACAACTCAAAGGATTTAGAGTACGACTTGACTTCGCAGAAAAGGACTTCATTGAACTAGACCAATGACCACCTCGATGTTCAAGTATACGTACAGATCCGAGTAACCAGGCATCCCCTCCACGCACAATCTCCACGCCATTCCCAAACTAGATCAGACACAAAAGAAGTTCTCCACGCAGAACAGAAAAACCTGACATAGCCAACCATTCTGAAATCAGATTTGAGTTTGTTGCAAAGACTTAGTCGTTGTCACTAGAAGACACAACGTCTTATGTCTCTAACTCCAGCTTCCTGGAACTTCTTTAACAAAGAGGAAACGGAAGAAAATGATGTTCGCCAAAAACCAACGTCCATCATCCATCCTTCGAATCGCAGAAGAACTATTCTAAAAAACTCTGTAAAACCCGGATGGGTGGAACCTGATCTAAACTACATTTTATGATTGGATAAATTAGATATTTTACCAATGTAAAGTATTTAATATTAACCAATCATGATCCATCTAACTAACAACCCACTTATTTGTAAGTGCTGAAGTTACTTGTAATTTCAGCACCAGAGAGATTTGAATTTAACTTAGAAAATAGTTGGACTCTCCCGAGCACTTCAGCAGCCGCAATAAACCAGTATACCCTAGATCTATTGAGCCTAGCAGAGACTAGTTAAACAACCTGAGACTAGATAGTATAAGAGTAAGATTAGGATCGGTATTAGACTAAGAAGTTGCACGAATCTATCCGGCCGAAAATAAGATAGCGTGACGAGCAGACGGTGTACCCTATCCGAAATTACTCTATGAGTTATACACACCAGTCCTAACTCATTTTGCTCATAAGTTATAAACTAAAGAGTTTGAATGATGCGATAGAATTTTGAGCCCAATCAGAACTAAAAAAAAACTAAACTTCTTTTTCGAAAAAAGTTAGAGAACGAACTATTTTTGTTTCTAAATATCGGCACAAACAGTAGCTTTAGCTGACATTAACATGAAAAACGTTCCTCCAGGATTCGGAGGACTTCGTCTTTTGGCCGCCGAGTGAACGAGAAGACATTAGGTCATCATCACAACACGACTCATCGAGTGGAAACGAAACCGACAGAGAACAAAGCCGAAATGTCAGATTCACGACGCATGCCAAGAAACGTGGTCTCGTTGTTGAAAGAAAAACAGAAATTTGTTCTCACGAACCGAATCGACAGTCGTGTAATTCTTGTGCTGTCGTGAGTAATCCGAATAGAACCATGGAACGTGGCGATGATACGTGTCTTAGAGAAGAAGAAGTTACTTCTGATATGGATTTCGTCGTAACTGATTTGGTGAGGAAAAAATTTCAGATTTTGCGATATCCATATTGTAATGAATCCCTCTTTGGTTGATTAAACTAAACCAATAATTTTTTTGAAATTGGTGCCAAACTGAAATCGCGTTGGCACCAATATATAACTAATTTGTGAGGAGAGCGCGCTCCAACAAAACAGCATTTTTTGTGGTCAAAACCTTCAAAAACGAGCCTGAAAAATAGTGTCTTTATAAAATTTTAATGGCGCTCGGAAAATCACATGGTCGACCCAAAAAGAGTCGGTAAAACTTCCTGAATCTCCAGAAACGGTGGTCTAAATCCACTTGTTAAACATTTTGATAGTTTTTTGTGGTGTCAGTTTTTTTTCTTAAGCATGTTTGAGGCTACAAACACTTCGTTCCTGATGCTGAATTTCAACCCCATGTCCGCCTTTAGAATTTATTTTGGCCAAAATTTTTTGGGAGGATTGGTCTCAATATTTTATGATACTCATAAACAGGGGCCGGATCTAGGATTTTCTCGAGGGGGGGGGGCGGATTTTCAAAAAAAAATCGAAAATTTTGACGACCTTTTTTTTTTAGTCCGACCAAATTGATTTTTCGAGCTCTCCCAGAGCGCTGTTTTGACCCTATTTTGGCTAAATTTTGTGCGCCGCAGGCAAATTTTTGAAAAAACAGTCAAAAAATCCGTTTTTGGGCACTTTTTGAAAAAATTTGACAAAAAAATCGCGTTTTTTTTTGGCGCGCGCTCCCCCTCAAAGTTAGTATACATTGGCGCCAAAGGCGCCTTTAGAAAAATTTTAGGGTCGGTCGGCCAAAAATGGATTTCTGAAAAAGTATCAAAGGGGGGACCCTTTGGGTCGGCAGGGGGTCGAATCCCTGAGGAAGGGGCGTCCGCCCCCCCTCGCCCCCCCCCCCCCTAAATCCGCCCCTGCTCATAAACATGCTAGTAGTGTTGTTTTTTCTTACTTTGTTCATCATCTTTGACCGAAGCTCAAAACATTTTAAAATAACTTATGACAAGGCCTGGATAGCAATGTTCCCAGGCTGTTTAAAATGCTTGTCATATATTCGTACAGCATAATTTGGGCATCACTTGACTAGGCCTATCAGGCTTTTCGATGTCCTTGCATATCAGAGCTATGTAAACTGACAAATGTCTATTGAATAGTTTCTGATATGGAAACAATTTATTATGGTTAAGAATTTGATTTCTTGAATGAAAACTACTTTTTCCATACAATTCTAAATAATTCTATGGGTACAAAAGATTGTATGAACCCTCTTTGTATAGCAGTTGTCGATAATTTAAAATTTTATTAGCATGTTTCCATGAAAAAAATTTTTTTTTTTATTTCGACTTTGAATTTTTGTGTTTTGCCCTGCAACGGTTTATTTTTCAATTAAAAAAACGCAGAGGCTCTGAAAGCGATGAAAATTTTACAAATTACACTTTAGATTGTTATTTGCCAGCTATGCTATTATGTTATGAATTGAATTGTAGACAGAATTATTAAAAATATATATATTTTTTTTATATATTGAGAGCCATGGTCTGTTTTTTGACAGATTTGAATTCATCTTCTCAAAGAGAAAGGAAAAAACTGGTTTCATTCGAAGCATTTATTGTGGTTTTTGTTTCTTTTGAGTGAAAAGGTTGTTTTTAGAATACATCATAGTAAAAAAGTTCACAATTTTTCAAGCAACTTTTTATTCTTCAGAGAACGTTCAGTTGACTGTATATATAATTTTCAGATTTAAAAAAGGAGCTGAACTTTTTTCTCAGTTATGGATTTTTTTGAGTTTTTTGTAGTCTATGGAGAAAACATTACTAGCAAATTTTTCACACATGAAAATTGCGTGATAAGCATTTTTTCTAAAGACTCCATATAAAGAATTGTATAAAATAAGTTTTTTTTGCATCAAATTGTTTGATAAGCTTTTTCAGATCTCTTTAACTATATCCCCACTTTGCAGAAGTAGGGACATTCGTTACTAGGAAAAAAATTCTCATATGAATTATTTCTTTATAAGGGGGGATACTGCGTACTCGGTACTATACTCGAGGGGGATATAGTTAAAGAGATCTCCTTTTTCTTGCATAAAATTGTACGATAAGCACGGTTTGCTCTTTTTTCATCTGCGGCCAAATGACAATTCAAAAGAAGCGTTTACAGACATTACCGCAATTTGTTCGGAAAATTTTGGTAAAATTTTAGTCATTGTTACAAAGCGAAGTCACTAATAACTGATTTTTCATTCTGCAGAATGATACAAATCAAACTGTCGGCAGCGAGGGACGTCTTCTATATGATCACTTAACCGAAGAGCAATCACACAGTTTAAACGTCCGTCTATTCGTGGATAAACATGTTCGACCCCCTCCCCCCAACATTCAGGAGCGACAACCCGCATCATTGTCCCCCTCGGACCAGCACTGCCGAGAGGAAACTGACGAGGGCGACGAAGGGCGGGACGAGGAGGGGGAGGAAGGGGGAGTTGAGGTGACGCCGAGGAGGGAGAAATCCCCCTTTGACGTGATTGGTCGAGTACAGTCGTACCTCGCGGCCACGCGTCGCAAGTCAACCTCGATTGGAGCTTCTCCCGGTGATCAACTAGTTTCTCCCATTGTTGTGATGGACAGGTTAGCTGTCATTGGCAGAAAAAAAATAGCTAATTTAAGCCCGGCAACTCAAAAATTGTGGCGCTCAGGTAGTGATGGTGCTGGTTCAAATCGCATAAGATTGCGCGATGACTTTCACAAAAATCTCAAAAAAATAGTTTTATTTTACAAATTTTAATTTTTTCAAGTTATTACAGTGCTGATTTAAATTATCCGGACAAAATGAATAAAACTGGAAATTTCAAACACGTTTTTCTCAAATTGGGTTAAGATTAGACAAAAAGTCAAGAATACAAAAGTTGCTTAGAATTTCATCAGAATTAATTTGGTGCAATTTTTTCTAATTCTCAACCGAAATTCTCAACCTAAATTTTAACCCAAAATGGGTCATTTTTTTCAGACAATCAAGAATTAAGCTGAAACTACTTCGTTAATTGATGAGGAATATATATCACAAGAAGCTTCTTTTACAGCCCAACAAATTTCTACGAGGGTTAAAACTCCAAAAATTTGTATAAAGTGTTAAAATTTTGTTTTTAATCAAAGATTTTGGTTTTATATAGTAAAAATCTCTTTTCTTGACAATCGAGCAAAAACTGTTTCTCTTATACAGGTTTCTGGAGATTTAATTTTCCTAGAAGTTTGTTGGGCTGTTTAAGAAGCTTCTTGTGATATATATTTCTCATCAATTAACTAAGTAGTTTCAGCGTTATTTTTGATTGTCCGAAAAAAGCCAAAATGACCCACTTTTGGGGTAAAATTTTGGTTGAGAATTTCGGAGAAAAAATGAACCATATTAATTCTGATGCAATTTTAAGCAACTTTTGTTGCCCTCATTTTTTGTCTTATCTTAACCCACTTTGAGAAAAACGTGTTTGAAATTTCAAGTTTTGTTCGTTTTGTCCGGATAATTTAAATCAGCACTATGTACTACTCAATAGACCCTAAAAGGCAATCGGAACATTCAGTGCTTTGCCCTGATATGAGCAGTTTTGTTTGTTTTCAAATGAATTGGTAAATCAGAGCAAAGCTTAGCATTGCGTGGCCTTTTGTATTTGTGAGAAAAAAATATCAAAATCATGAAGTGATGTCTGCATTTAGACAGCTGTTATTCTACACGGCAAATACTGAAAGCGGCTTACGAAAAAACAATGGAGAATACAGTATAATCACGATATAACAGTGCCACTCAATAGTTTGCGATCATCTCTCTCGCAACCGAAAAAAATTGTTTGCCCGAAATTCCACGCGGCATTGAGGCTGCAAAAATTTCATCAAAATGAGCAAAAACGTAATTTGGAAAACAGTTATTGCTTTCAAGTGACACGAAAAATGGTGCGACAATATTTTCGACGAAAAAAATTATAGGACGACTAGCTTCATCTGAAACTATTTTGTTTTACCGTAAATTTAAGACTGCGCCAGAATGTACTTTCAAACATATAGGTTTTTTGAGGATTTTGAAAAGCACAAGATTCTGCTAATGTTTGCTCTTCTGACTGAAAACACAAGCGACCATTGCAATATATTCCTAATATTATTAGAGAAAAAACGGAAAAACATGACAAACATTTCAAACCGGATAAAATTTTATCCAACTACGAAAGCGGAAAAAAAACAGAATTACATTAGTACCAAAATTGTTCGTTGGTCAAAGACCATGAGGGCGACAACAACCGGCCGGCTTCAATTTTCAAATCCTACTCTGTTTTGGTAAGCTCGCAACCCTGCGGCGGCTACCATTTTGCTGATTATGTTTTTTGTATTCAAAAGACAATAAGTTAAACTAGTTATTCGCTCAAAATTTGACCGATCAGAAGTCGATTTGAACGATATTGGTACAAACTCCATTGAATTTTTTTGGTACAAATGAACCTTGGTACAAAAAGGACTTTACAAATCTGATACTTAAACTGTGCAAAAAATTAATCTTAGTCTATTGATACTTAAATTGCAAACTTCATGTGATTTGTGTAGGTTTGGAGGTACATCTGCGGCAACTGTGTGTTGTCTGTGGGCTGTCGGAGACCAGTTAGAGAAGGACTCTTACCTGGACTTGTTCCATCAAGCCAGACTGATCCAGACAGCCAGAACTGGACTATTTTCTCAAAAGGTTCGCAAAATAAGGCACCGCACAGGAACGGGGTGCTATTAGCCGGTTGATTCATTAGACTAAGTTAAGATCATCCGCCCATCTTTAATTTGGATAGAAATGTATGCACTGCCTGTACAATACTCGATTCTGTTTGGCTAAAAACTCCAACTAAAAACCAATTTAACCCCCCCCCCCTTCTCACCCCTAAAACTCTCTAGGGTAGAAACAATCAACCTGGTACCGCTTATGCATCGTAAAGTTATAATACGCAAGACAAGGAAATGATAAAAACAACCGCACAAGCCAAAATGTTACAATACATAAAATTTGTTGAGCAAAACCGATAGAAGAAAAAAAGAACGACAACAATTTTGGAGAATTTAAAATTAAAAGTTAAATAAGCTATAAATAAGCTGCAGTGATACAAACTAAGCTGTTGATAAAGAACGTTGCTCTGTTCCTACGAATCTTTAGTTAAGAAAATTTAAAACTTTTTTGTATTAAACTTAGAAATTACAGTGACGACTTGCTTTCAGGAAGATTACTTGTACTTATTTCAATGTGTGGCCGAATACGCCCGACAACGCCGAGTGTTATCCCCACAACATCGTCTCTCTGCAAGCCCCATGCAACTGACCTCGCTCGCTTTCTACACTCAAAACAACTACCCTCTTTTACCCCCTGCAGCCACCCAAATTAGCCCCAGACGATACACTACAAGCATACCCCTGAGAAGGCCGACCAAGTTGAATAGTTCACTGAACCGCTCGGCTGAATACTTAGACAGACATTCGTGCCGTAACGGAAGAGACGACGATGATTCGGCTGAACGAGAAACTCTTTTACTGCCTCGAAACTTGATTGTTCAGCTGCCCCCCTCGCCTGCAGATGCGGAGCCTCAATCGCCCCAGACGAAACTGAGTCATAAGCTAAATAGGGCAAATAGTGTTTCTTTCAGATGCGATTCTAAATACCGGAATGCGATCTCAACTCAATGCCAGGAAAGTGTTCTCTATTTCTAAAGTCAAAACTTCTTGATCAGTCTTTCTTCTGAAGTCGAAACTTTTGACACGCTAACATTATTTCCTGAGATGTTTGAAAATTGGCCGAGTCTGAGTCAAAACTGTACCTGAACTGAAAAACTGAGATCTTCAATTGAAATACTGAACTTGAAATTTCCTAATAACCAAGAACCAATTTTTCACTAATCTCTGTAATAATCTGAGTCGATTCTAATTTCATCAGACTTGCCAACATGTTGTAAAAGTTTTTCTTCTAGCAAAATAAGGATATTGTGCAGTTGATGTTTCAGTCGTGAAAATTTAATACAATAGCAATCATTGTTAACTATTTGTACATTTGAAAAATTTTAAAATAATTTGATCTCAGTAAATGTAGATAGAAAATGCACAATCAACTAATTTTTCGTAATTGAAATTAATTTATGATTTAATACCATCTACTTTTATAATTATTTAAGTAACTAAGAAGTCAAACATGATAGATAGATGATGATCATAAGTTTTTTCTCCGTATATTTCGAGAGAAATTGATTTTTTTCTTCTTGCAATTTTAACAATTTTAGTTCATACAGTTTTCAATAACATTTCAAAATAACATATCTGAAACAATTGTAGAGTGAAATGAATCAAAAATGCTCTTTTCTGAAATCTGATTTTTAATGTCTTAGAAAAACGTTAAAAACTTTTAAAAAAATGTTTTTTTCTTTGTATCTTTTGGACGCGCGGGCTTCATGAAAATTTAAGCTGGACAGTTCGGGATATTTTTGTTGGCCGTGAAAGTGTTTGATTACCATTAGAAAATGAATTAAGTTTGAGAAAGGATACAAAAAGCAAGAAGACAAATAACCCACTGAGACAGGAATGAATGATTGATTTCAGATGATTTCAAAAAATAACTGTTGGCTAGCTTTAGCTTTAGAAGCTCTCTTGTCACTTGTTCTGTCGCAATACGGTAATAACAGCCGAATTGCTTCTTTTCTAGCCTCGTCTTTTTAGTAAACCAGTCAGAGGCGTAACCCGAAGATTAATTATTCAAGGTTAACTAAGCTATGGCTATCTTATAAGAGCTCATCTTGTAAATTGGAGCGCACGTGCGATTTAAAACCCGCAATCATATTATTGCTAGACACCATCACTACCGAAATGCCACAACGCAACTTAGCGGTGGCCATGGATGTTTCCCAACTTGAATGGAGGGAGAACGTGAATGACGTTGGATTCTACATCGCGCGTGAGGGAAAAGAAAAGGGGAACTTAGAGAGGGTGGCCAAAGAACAGATGGCAAAGGGTCCATAACTCACTCCGGATTTATTGGTTGACTTTCGTTGCAGAGTCATTGGCTCTTCGTCAGCTTAAGTTTGTCCGTCGCCCATGTTGTTTATAGCTGCGACTGGAGGTGGGAGCTTCCGGCAGGGAAAAAGCTGACCCAAACAGGGCCCAAGTCCGCCCGTTGTGTTTTTTTTTGGCTCAAAGCAATGCTCCTCGCCTACAACCGAAAGTTGGAACTCTTTAAGTTGGAAGTACGGCGACTATGTCTCAACTCATTCTGTTACGCCAATTGGTATGGCATGGAAAGATGCTCTTTTTCATGAACACCTAAGTCAGCTGGAAGCCAACTTGATGAAGACCGTGCATCCAACGTTCAGATCAGCGGAACCCAGGACGCCAGAGAGAATTCTTGGCCCAACGCTCCCGCAGTTAACAGGCTGGGGTCGTCCTCATAGATCAGGTTCGAGATGACAGTCCAAAGATTCAATTCAGCCGACGCTGATAGCAAAGATGTAAGAAGTGACGCTGAATGAAGGACCCCCGTAGACTCACTTCTTGAGCGCTCAAGAGGAATGCAGTGGGTAGTTGAAATAGTTGAAGCTTCAGAGATATCCCGTGACATGAGAGGCCCACGACAAAAGCTGGCAATGAACGCGACCTCAGAACTGCAGGGAAACTTTAGATAAATTTACTGATTGGAGGCTTATGCATTTGAGTTCTCTCCAAACAGGAATCAAACCAGTAGGATTTGTCAGTTACAACCATGTACAAGTTGAGAGGTCACGTGAATCTTTGGCAGCAACTCATGGCAGATAAATGGTGCGAACCGGAGACACCAGACAGAAGAACAAAATAATTTTTCCTATTGAATCTAAAACCTCAGTTTCTGGATTTGTTACAGAGATAGGCAATCCAGCCAAGAAGCAGTACCTTATCCTGCTAACTGCCTACTGTTGGAATAGAGATGTTAATTTTCTGATGTGGGAAACTCAACTTGTGATGTACAAGGCAGCGTAACTCAACATGGCTCGCAAACTTATCACAGCCGATTCAGATAATGAGCACTCTTCGCATGCACCTTTAACGCAAATCATGACATTGTTAAGAATACCTGCTGCCACCCTCTTTCATAACAGTACACCGTTTCCCTTGGTGATAAAAAAAGACGGGTGGTCGACCGCAACTGGCGAATTTCACTGGGTTGAATGACCAGTTATATATATACGGAATGTTTGCTCCTCTTCCGTATAAGATACCTTCCACAGACTAGGAGATCTTGTTTGCGATGAAGATTTTGATTGTAGAAATTTAGGAAAATATAGAGAAGTTAAAGAAATAGCTGTCAGCAGATGCGCAACCAATCTGTGTGACGTCTACTGGATCCAGCACGTAGTCCAATAATGCGATGCTTTCAGTTTTGGCCACAGTCGCGCGGTCCCAGATTCGAAAGAATGAAGCATTTATAAATGCGACTAATTGGGAGTTGCGCTCAATCAGCACGAAACCACTGGAAGCTGAGCTGCGGACTTGCTGATCGGATGTGTCCAATAGAGTGAGAGGTGCATCTGGCGGACTGTAATGTGCAGGGATGCCTAAGAAATCGAAATGCATTCCATATTGAATGAAGTCTTCGAATCGCTCTTACTTTCATATGAAACCCAAGGTCAGATTGACTCCGAAGTAGAAAAAACAGGTTGACCCCTTGCAAGAAATCGAGCATTGACAGTGAGTTAAACTGAGGGAGGTCAAGATATAACAACAAAAACAAATTGTTTCCAAAACATATCTAACATTTCATCACTTTTTATATATTCCTTTTGCAAAATGCAGATCATTTTGGTTGATCGCCACTAGAAACAAATTGTCTGTTTTCAGGCGTTAAGCAAATTTGCAATGAAGGTCAAATGTTCCCTGGTCAACCAGATGTCGCTATATAGGCTCTTCGGTAAAATCCTGAAATCTTGTGACTAACGAACTTAGAGTAGATATTCTTAGTCATTAGTCAATGCTGGACATTGATCGTTCTGCCAGCCGCTTATTCGAGTGTGAGCCGCTCAAACATTACCGACTACGTGGCTGACGTGCTCTTCAAACGAGTAAACCTAAAACCTAACTTCTGTCTATGATTTTCACCTGATGCTGAAAAACGACGTTTACCTAGGAACTTTTTTGACCAGGGTCAGTCGCATGGAGTTGTTAGCTAGTGTTAGTCAGTGGAAACGGGAAAGTAGCGAGACAAAATTGTTTATTTAATTTTTAAATTTTAGAAATGACGGTAAGTTATTAAAATAATTACCCAGTAAAAGAACCTATTTCTTCACGGCGTTGGATTTGGGCTCTGCGTTCTGACAAGTGCCCCTCAGAAAGCAGGGTGGAGAGAAAACGGGCTTCGCGTGTGAACTGGGGCTGTTCCAGTGGAAAAGAATGCCGTTTGGACTATGCAATGCGACGGCCACATTCCAACGATTGATGGCCCAGGCACTAACGAATGTGACCAAGAAGTATGGCAACCTTATAATGTGTTACGTTGATGACGTGATGATAGCGACACCGGCGCTGGAGGACCATATAGAGAGACTATACGAAGTCTTCACTTGCATGAAAAAGGCCGGCCTGAATTGCAAACCTTCCAAGTGCGAAATCCTGAAAGACTCAATCAAGTATCTGGGCCGTCTAGTAGATAAGCACGGAGTAAGACCAGAAGCGGTTGAAGCAGTGTTGACATGGAAAGCACGGAAGACCGACACACAATTGATGAGCTTTCTCGGTTTCGCTAATTATTACCGAGAGTTTATCAAAGGGTATGCTGACAAGACATAACCTATGCAGCAGTTGATGCAAAATAAGGTTAAGAAATTCAGCTGGACTGACGAGGCTCAAGTTTCCTTTGGGAACACCAAGCGCGAACTTTGCGAGGCTCCGGTCCTCGGCATGCCGACAGAAAAGGGGATGTTTGTATTAGATACAGACGCATCAGGGGATAATGTCCTGAGAAGGGGATAAAGTCCTGAGCGACAATGAAATGAAACACGGTGTATCAAAAATACAGAGCCTACTTAGGGAGTGCTCCCTTCAAGTTGCGTGTAGACAATTGTGCTGTTGCCTGGCTGAAGACTTATTCGATGGACCAAAGCTACATTGGTCGCTGGATCGTGCGTCTGGACGGCTATCACATAATCATAGAGCATGGAACCCGTGACAAACACCAGAATGCCGTCAGCCTCAGCAAGAAGACTGAGTTCTATGAGCGATTAGAGGAGAAGCAGGCTAACCAGGCAGAAATCAAGGATGGTTTCTCATTTCTGGATAAGGAGACCTATGACAATCTGCCACCCACCAAGTGGCTTGACAAGTCCGGGCACCTCATACCAGGACACCCCGAACTTCCGTTGAAACGGCTGCTGAGATAAAAATGTTGGCTAAAGGTGATCCAGTTCCGTTTAATTTGCTAGTTCGATCAAACCTGGTGCAGCAAGAACTGACCAGGCTGGATATCAACAGCATAGCCCTGCTAAACAAGACGGTGAACCTGGCACCGGATGTCATGCTGAAACTCCGTGACCTGCTTGACAGAGAGGTTGAACGGCATGACAATGAATGGTGGAGACCATGCAGAGGTTGGCAATCACCAAAAAACGGAGAAGAGACCAGTAGCAATTCGGAGTCGGGACGTTGAACTGGAGTGCCGATCGATAGTGAATCAGATAGTGAGTTCGATTCCGAAAGATCTCCTTCTGAGGTCTCCGTATAGGGAGTGTCAACAAACGGTCGCTACTCAAACCGCTCAAGAGGTCAGTGTTGAATTAAGAACCAACGTAACAAAAAGCGTCCAGTTAACCGAGACGAAGGAGGAGTACGAGCCGAATTCGGACTGTTCATCCGGAGACAAGACGTTGTTCGGGGAGTCATGCACCTTCGGGCCTGGACAAGATGACTTGTCCGGGGAGACAATGTCGAAGCGACCAAGGGACAGAATGTTGTCCGGGGAGTCGACTTCGGAGCGACCAAGGGACAGAATTTTGTCCGGGGTGTCGAGAAACATCATAAACAAATCAGAAGACGATGATGCAGAATCCATCAGCTCAAGTGATG